TAGACTTGGAAGTGTGATCCATCGGCCGACCAGGAGAGGATACACTGGTCTTCGTTCTGCAGCATGTCGTAGACGGCGCGCACGAAGCGAGGTACGTCGGTGAAGGCCATGTTGCTGGCAGTGTTGCTCTCCAGATTCATCGCTTTTCTGGTCTTAAAGTTGGTGGTCACGAGGGTGAACCGATTGTCACTGACGGTTGAGTGGATGAAACCCAATTGAGTTATGTTGAGCTTCTAGATGGGTCATTCAGCGCGGCAGACTTGGGCAGGACACAGGAAGCTTCTGGCAGACCGCTCTAGAAGCAAACAGTTGGTAGGTAGCAACGGAGACAGGAGGATTGTTGTTGCGACTTCGCTGCTATCGGAGAATTCACCGAGAACTCACATGGCCTTCGTGTTCCGACAAAGCACATGCCGTATCCTGGAGTATGGATTACTCGTACAGTACATGCAAATTCTACCGCGAATACATGCACATGTAAATTCTTTCATAGCAGCGACTTGGTTGGCATTGATTGGGTGTTGACTAAGGATAAGTGCTCGAAGCCTCCAAGTTGAAGTCTGCCAGCTGGTGAAAGTGTAGCCATACTGAAAGAATATTAACCAACGCAGAAAAGGGACTAGATACGATCACCGAGATAGCATAACACGAAACAAATTATAGTATTTCTTCGAATAATACTTCATCAAAACCGAGCCTTCGAAAAACCCTACTTCATACGATCCAATCGATCGTGTTTTTTTTTTTTTGTAAAGTCAGACTCGACATCGACCCCGACCGCACATACAACCGGTAGCACACTCTCTAGCAGCAATGCCCCCACCAGCGTGCCATTAACAGTTCAACAAGATATTGATGCTCACTCAATAATCAACAAGATATTGATGCTCACTCAATAATCAACAAGATAATGATGCTCACTCAATATTCAACAAGATATTGATGCTCACTCAATATTCAACAAGATATTGATGCTCACTCAATACATGCAGTTCAGATGCCGATGAATTCATAAATTATACCGGACAGGGCTTTCGAATCCTGCAATATATACAACACGCTGCGCGATAACATCCGCAAGTGTCTGCACAAGAGCTATACGAACAACAACATGTCCGCGTCGACGCTGATATCGACGTCAACGTTGGAGGCGCCTCCGAGCAGAACCTCCACATCACAGTCCGACAGTATCGAAGAGGTCTCGATTCTACCGAATATGGCGAACACGTCCGCTCCTGTCGACACGCCAGTCGAAGCCAAGGAGTCGAGCTCGAAGCAGAAGTCCAAGTCGGCATCAATGTTGTTGATACTGATGTCGCTATCGGTATCGCTGTTGCTGTTGCTGTTGCTGTTGCTGTTGCTGTTGCTGTTGCTGTTGCTGTTGCTGTTGCTGACACCAACCGACGAGACGACCATGTCCCAGTCTAGTGCCACCAGCTCAATAGAATCTAGTGCGTCAATCAGCATCAGATCGTCCTTGCTGTTGCAGATATTGTCCTCCAGCA